GGGGGGGGGGGGGGGGGGGGGGGGGGGGCTGCGGCTTGGATGGTGAAAAACCCCAACAGGTGAATGAGGGTGGGGAAGGGGGGCGAGGAGGTGCCGGGAGGAGGAGGGTGGCAAAGTCAGACCCCAGTTTGGCTCAGTTCCACTGGATCCTATCCTTGCAATTCCTGGGCAGTTCTGATCCACAGGTGTAGCCGAGAAGTCTTTTTGGTGGCTGCAGCTCAGGGGCTGCTTTTTACTTTTTTTTCTTTTTCACAGTGCAAAGCCCAGCCTCAGCTTGGCTCAGCAGCCAGGCCAAGCGTGCCTTGTCTGCAGTGGGAACAAGATGACGGCAAAGGTCAGCTGGGAGGCAGAGCGCAGGGCAGCAGGGGTCCAAAAGGGCATAGATGAGGGTGGAGATAGGCAGGTGGGGGGAGTTGAAGCACCCCTGTGGTCATAAGTGTGGGCAGGCTGCCAAGCATCCAAATTTTGATCACATGACCAGGGGCGCTGCAACAGCTGTAATTTCGGGCAGAAGGCCTCTTTGTTCAGTGCTGCTGTAACTTTGAACAGTCACTGAACAAATGGTTGTAAGTTGAGGACTACCTGTATCAACAAGATTAGAGACATCATTTTTAACCATCTCAAGATCTCCTTTATCTCCCATTTACCTATTCTTACTTCCTGTGCAAGGCTCATCTACTTTGCTTATCTTCTTTCTTCCTAGAGAATGCAGTACTACTTCCTTCTCCACTAACTAAGCTTACCCCTCAAAAAATTCATTTTTCTCCAGCAGTCTTTTCAGAACCAACCTTCACTTAACAAGCTCTAAGTGTCTGCATTCTAATCACTTTTCTCTTCCCAACTACGCTTTGTCAATCTCAAATTTTTCAACATTCCAAATATTCCAGAGTGTAATATTATTAATCTCTATATGGAATATTAACTAAAAAACAATCTGATGATAGACTATGTCCCATCTATAACTGCATGTAGGGCTAGCATTAAAAATACAGTTGTTGAAATAATCGCTATCAGCATTATACCCTCTGCTTACACAAGGGGAATTTTAATAATAATAATAAATTAGAGGAAATAAAAAAAAGAGATATGTAAAAGAGACTCTAACAATAAAAGATAGAAGCAAAAAATAATCCCATATGAATTACAGGGAGTCTTCAACTCATGACTATTTGTTTAGCAACAGTTCAAAGTTACAACAGTGCTGAAAAAAGTGACTTATGACTGATCCTCGCATTTACGATCGAAGCAGCATCCCCATGGTCACGTGATCAAAATTCAGGCACTTGGCAACTGGCATGTATTTATGACAGTTGCAGCATCCTGGGGTCACATGATCACCATTTGCAACCTTCCCAGCCAACTTCCAACAAGCAAAATTAATGGGGAACCATGTGATTCACTTAATAACCACAGTGATTTGCTTAACAATCACTGCAAAAAATTTCATAAAACCAGGTGTGGTCACACAATGCCTCGTTTAATGATCACACCACTTAACGACAAATTTTCTGGTTCTTATTGTAGTCATAAATTAAGGGCTACCTGTATTTTAATTGTATTAAAGAGGGCATCATATTGTGAGGTTCACCAAGTTTGAAAACTCACTACTGTAATTAAGAATCAGATTTGCTTGGTTTGTGTGATGGAAGACTTGAGTGAGGAGGTCCAAGGTCATAGGGAGAGGAATCTCAAGCCATCTCCTCAGCCCGCAGCCTGAGCGTGTGAAAACTAAGACGATGAGACTGGCACCACCCTAAGGAATTCAGAGTGTTTAGTTGCTGTCGTTGGGGGTTAGA